ACAGGACGAATAAAGTTGCAGCTTTGGAGTAACTCCTAATAGAAAATTTGAAGTGCAAAGTGACAAAAATGAGGGGTATAAAATATGGAATGGATTTACATTTATTGCAAAAAGAATTCGCAAACATAGCATAGAAATTAAATGATTCAAGTTCTACTAAAAGTTGAATGTAGAATAAAAATTCTGCAAGATGAACAATATTGACTGACGAGAGTGGCAATACATACAGGGTGATTCGTAGTAAATATGTCAAAAATCGATCCTAGATTAAGGTCGTGAAGACAGTGATAATGAGCCAAATATGCTAGTTAATGAGATACATGTTTCAATTTTCAAAATCGTTTTTCCCTAAAGGTCAAGTGAATTTTGTGATATCAATATCGCGCTTAATCTATAATCGCATTCATAACATACTACCCTGTATAAGAATAAGTTTTCTGGATTTGGCCACTAAAAGCTCAGATACCCTGTATATTCGTAATTACTGCCGTCATTTCTCCAAGTTACTCATATAGCCAACCATTGAATAACAGTCATTAGGATTATTGGTAATTAATTTCACAAATGCTTGATCGACACCTTGTAGGATAGATAAGGCTGTCTGTATCGTAATATATTACGGATAGTTTCACCATAAATCATAGATACACTTTATACAGAGGGTTTAATGCAACTGGTTTTTGTACATAACTGTTTTTGAAGTGTATTCGTGTACCTTGATTCACGAATGCCTGATTTTAGACTGATTAAAGAATTACTTAAAAATTCTTATGGTGGCTATATGATTAGAGCGTTTGCCTGAGCCCCCTCTAACGGTAAACTGGTCGTACAGCAATGACGACGTCACAAAGAACACGAAGCACCATATTTACGTAGGTACGTATTTTCAACACGCTTTCTTTAATTTCGTAGATGACCCGTCAGACAGATCTCGTTGGTGCTGTACTAAAGTAGCAGCGTCATGAGAAATATTTAACTTCAGTAGTCTATAATCATATCATCCAATAATATAGCGCAGTGCCAGGCACACCCCGTCGGGAACATTACGTATACGAGATACTGAAACCGGATACAATAATCATTTGCTATGAAGAGACTGAACGGTCTAGATGTACGCCACAATACCCTATAAGAAATTCATTCGATAGAATGTATTACCAATTATTCAAAAGATACAAGCTTTGAAAATTACTTAGCAGTTGAACTTCATACGAGATGATGTTATTGTATGATCGTTGATTTCAAGAATGCATGCCTTGTCAGTGTCAAAGCCATGACGTCAGTCACTGTTACAACTAGTTGCCAAAGAGGGTAACAGAGGCATGGGGATTGCCTTAGATTATCAAGTAAAATTATAGACTACTGTGTTAAAAATGCGAACACTACTAAGGTTTATATCACGCAGGGGATTGGAAGTATGTACATTAGGTGTAGGTATAGGTCTACTGTATATACTGGTTACTTAAAATATTGATCTGTTCTATAGTTTAGTATGTCTATGTATGCTATGTAAGTTATTGTTAATGTTAAAAGTAATTATATGTATGAAGTTCTTACTTATATGCTTTATCTATCGTGAGAGTTAGGATATTAAAGAGTTATTTCGAAAAATATCACCATTCGAGTAAGTTGGTGATGCTTTTTTGAAATAACTGGAATAGTATACACCAGTATATAAATGGTTAAATAGGAATCTGTACACCTATAGCTGCTGAAAGTTCGGAGCGTTTTTGGAAATGAACAAAATTAATATGAAAACGAAATCAGTCTTCCAATACAGTATGTTAATCGCAGTCTGTAAACAATGAGAAATGAGACTAACGAAAATACCAATGATGAAAAAATGTTCATTTTCAAAGAAGTCCCGATATAACTTAAAATATTACACAACAACTTATGATAAGGAATAAATAGTACAGAAGATTGAATAATAATTTGTACGGGAATGAACAAATTTGGTTTTGATGATTTGAAAAAAAAAGTTAACCAGTACGATGATGATTTTGTTAATGTCGCGAATGGTTATATGATGTTTTAATTTTTTTGTTCTACGGAACAAAATAATAGGAACATAATCGAGACCAACAATTCAACTAGTAATATTAATATTTGGAAAATATATTTATATTGCTATTCTTCTCAAGTGAAGCTGTAAATATTTGCGAATATTTAATAAAAAGGTTATGAATGTATGTGTCCATTTAGTGAGACAGTGAGATGGACCAATTAGCAAGTGGATGCAGTAAATATTCTTCATAAACCAAACACAACTTGCTAGTTATTTTATCAGTTTGTTCAAGTATTGTCTCGAACATCGACAATGTAGACACAATAAATGTTTCAGGCTGTTCATCAAAGAATTGCTTTATAAGATCCATCTTGCCGATTTGGTCGTATATGTTTTTTGTAGTTTCAAATAGTATGAGAGCGTGAGGCCAATGCGAGTAAGAGAATACACGTAGAGTAAACGTCACCGATTTACCTATATTTCCAGGAAATGGGATAGCCTTTTGCTGAAAATCTTAAACAAACACCAATCACGAATTTATGACTCCAGTTTTTATAAACTTCAGAGAGTATCTAATGTTTCAAATATAGAGGTAATACAGATACTGTGGAAGACTTGAGAGTCTATATCTATAGGTTTATTCGAAATCTTGTGAGACATGCTTTGCAAAAGGAATTATACTATGGCAGTTGAAAAATAGGCTCCCATTTAGTTTGTTGCTATGGCAGTTTTTTGAACTCGAATAGATGAAGAGTATGTGAACTATTTTCATTTCTCATCATCAACACTGATTTTGGAATAAACTTTTCCGATGAAGCCGTTTCCGTTGGAGACAAAATCTGTGATACCAAACTTGTTTCATATTGTGACATGTTTAAAGCTGAGAATTTTGAAAATCGTCATCACAAGATTCTGGAGAGCAGTGAAAACGTGGATTCGTCGTAACCATTGACATATAAGGACTAGCGCATACTTGGACATGGTAAGGGATACCATCAAGAGGGTTTTTCTTCTCGGTAGCGCATACTAGTGAGAAAAGCTAGGGTATGGAGTATCATGAGGATGTCTCCCGCTGCGGGATCCTGTATCAAAAACATCGATACATAGAACTTAGAACATTGGTGGTTGTTAAGTAGTACCACAGTGGCTGCAGTATTATCATCATAGACGCAAGATGGGATGTACTCCCTGCTTTATATTCTATATCTTCCCCAAAGCATTTAAGTTACTTCTGAGTATTTTAATATTCATCCTTCATCTCTTTTACAATATTATAGTAAATAAACTCTTCCAGTTATTCGCCATATTGTTAAATGTCCGAAATGCCTTCAAAAGTGAAGAGTGGAAAAACAATCTCTAACTTGTAAACAATGCAAGGTATGCGGAAAGGCGCTGGAAGCAAGTGGAAATATTTCCAATGTATGAAAACGAATAGTGGTTTAGAGACAGAGGTATATTTGTTTTTTCCATTGTCATCAATGTGTTTTCAATTTTGGTAATCTCATATCTTCTCAATTCATATGACTTTTTTACCGAAATATTGCAATCGGTTACAGAAGCACATCGTTTTTTTATCCTCTCACGTTTCTGTTGCGTTTTTCATTTTAAATGGCATTGAAGTCGATTAAAACGCGGTTGAAATTTCACCAATGGATTCCGCTGGCACCGGTGGTAATCGATGAATTGATCGCCGAATCAGAAGCACAGAACAAATGCAGAAGTTAAGAGAAAGCACTTTATGATTTATTTATTTCTATTTATGGACGCTATTGTTGTTACGATGGCGATGTTTGTCGATATCTAGACCTTGATATTTTCTGTAAAATTGCTATCGCCAGTTGCAAGGCATTTTTATCATTAGTGTGCGTTGCCTTTGCAGAGCTACCTCCTCGACCATCCCTGGGTGCGATAGCCCTAAATAGATATCATTCTTTATTTTTTCCTACATTATCTGTGATACCTCTACTATAGTGACAGAAAAAAAAACAGTAATAATGAATTTATTACAACAATTTTAGTACACAAGGGTTAGGTAAGCAATTGATCAAAATTTCAGAAAAACCCAACTGTTGAAAATAAGGTAAACAAATAATATGTTGTTGGGCCTCCATGCACTCAAAGACATGTCTGGGCATAGTCCTAATGAGATGATCGATTTTCACCTAGGGTATCCCATCCCAGACTGCTTGTACCTCGTGCCGCTGGAGTCCCATAATGTCCCAGATGTGTGCAATGGTTGACAGGTCGAAATATCTAAGGACCAAGGCAACAAATCAACTTGATTCTCTTCAAAATGGACCAACGTATATAGTAGGTATATAATCACCAAAGGTGACCTATATAACCAACAGCGCCCGATACCATAATTCCCACAGTGTTCACATACGCTTCCTTAGAAAATTGAGAACCCCGTCTTTCACGTTGTATCACCCTTGTACGGCCATCATGCATCATCAAACCCAATCTGCATTTATCGCTAAAGACCATGGTATTCCATTCGAGGTACCAGTTAAGCAGATCTCTTCGGTATGAGTAAGTCCAAAACCGTTAATCCAGCAATAAACAATTCGTATTGTAATAGTCTGCCCATGCTCTCCAAACCATTGGCCTGCAATTGACCTTGTGAACGAGAAGCGATCTCGCAGAGCCGAAAGCTTAAAAGGCGGCAATCTTGGTGTGGGGCCGCTCTTCTGAGATGCCCCTCTAGCTCAGCGTGTATGATCTTCCTGATTCCATGCTCGACAACAAACCACCACCGTGTTTAGACATCGCCACTGATCAAACTCGCTAAGCTGTTGAAATTTTTCTCTAGACGTAATGAACAGATTAAGGAAGCTCTTCACAAAAAACACTTTACCGATATAGTTGAAACGCTGATCGTTTTTTGTCCGTAGACCTGAAGAATCACGTAGGTGGTAGACCGTCTCTGACTGTCGAACGCGGAGGTACCACCCAGCGGATCTCCAAGGCGGGCCAGAATGTGCGCTTGGGTATGCTATCGTGGTGGTTCAAGTATAAAAAAAATCATAGGTACCTAGAAAATCTTTGTAATAAATTCATGATTAATGGTTGTCACTTAGTGCATTATATTGAATCTAAACGGAACGTAAACTCGGAATTGCACGCGTTACGCTCTCACACTTCACAAATAGAACGAATGCGGATGAATATGGTGAGGTGGAGGTGGCGCGTTAGAATTCGGCGATATCGCCACCTGGACCTCATCTCCCTCCCTCTTGATGTTCTTGATGTTGCGATGGTAGATGCTCTTGTGGTTCCTCAACGAGTTGAGGCTGCTGTATACCCTTTTGCAAATGTTGCATACCGGTTCTCTGCTGGGACGCATGTGTACGTTCTGAATGTGACGTTTCAGCCTGGTCAGGCTGCTCAGGCTTTTGTTGCAAGGCTGACAGCGAAAATCTTCCACACCTGGCGGCAGAATAGAACGCCACGCATTAGGCCTCGGTCGGCTCTCCCGTTTTGCGATCAGACCAACCACCATGTTTTTTTTTTTGAATTTTTCTGAGAGGGATGTTTTGGACTGGGTCGTGGATAGGCCGCTATGGACTCGGTGTTCGTCTAGCGTTTGGCAGGGACGTCAGCAGAAACCTAAATACCGCGACTGCTATGAAAAAGCTTAAAGAAACGTTTTGAATCCGAGGTAAGCAAAATTGGAAATTTCGACACCGTGGAACAAAGAAGCCGACGTAAGTAAGATACAAGGGAGAAACCTGAAAGGTCCATCTGGCACGGCTCAACGCGTGGCGCCAACATACAGGAGAGCTATGAGTAGCACAGGCCGCTGACGAAGCGGTAGAAGAGAGCTAGACCGACGAACGAAAGGGTCTCGAGAGTAGCCGTTAGAGAAGAGTCATCATTCAGACATCCGCCCTCTGAACAGCATAGACTATGGACAATGTACTCGGGGCGGCAGAGCCTCGCACACGTGAGTCTTGTACACAGCGAGAAGAACTTTTTATGGTCTAACTTCCTCTCTTTAGCTGTTGGGCTTGCTGTGATTTTGCTAACTCAAGTCTTCTGTGATCTGGACACCGACCGTCTGAGAAATGACACCCGGATCAAATCTAATGCACTTCTTGTTAGTTTTTGATGAAGTTTGTGGAATAAAGAAGAATGAAGTCACTCGTTGGCAGAACTGGTTTTCAGCGACGAAGCGGAAATTATTCTCCCAGGGTCAAATTTATCACGAAATGAAATTTCACGACTTTATTGGAATGAAGAATGATATATACAGAGAAAATGGTTAACGACTTCTTGATCCGTCCCTTGATGCGTTTGTTGAGGACCTTGGCATGGAAACGATTGGTTGGCAGCTGTTGAGAAATTGAACAACTAACTATGAAATTAATTTGGGCATTTGAAAGTCTGAAACAAATTCCCATCAGTGACTTAGCTTGTCTTTATTCTGTGGTTCATTGATGAAGCAGACATTATTCTCCTATGGACAAATTTATCACGAGATGAAATTTCAGCACTTTATTAGAACGAACAATGATATATACAGAGAACATGGTTAACGACTTCTTCATACGTCTCTTCCTGCATTTGTTAAGCACCTTGGAATGGAAACGATTGGTTGACAGCTGTTGAGAAATTGAACAACTAACTATGAAATGAATTTGGGCATTTGATAGTCTGAAACAAATTCCCATCAGTGACTTAGCTTGTCTTTATTCTGTGGTTCATTGATGAAGCAGACATTATTCTCCTAGGGTCAAATTTATCACGAGAGGAAATTTCAGGAGTTTATTGGAATGAACAATGATTTATACAGGGAAAATGGTTAACGACTTCTTCATACGTCTCTTCCTGCGTTTGTTAAGGACCTTGGAATAGAAACGATTGGTTGACAGCTGTTGAGAAATTGAACAACTAACTATGAAATTAATTTGGGCATTTGAAAGTCTGAAACAAATTCCCATCAGTGACTTAGCTTGTCTTTATTCTGTGGTTCATTGATGAAGCAGACATTATTCTCCTAGGGTCAAATTTATCACGAGAGGAAATTTCAGGAGTTTATTGGAATGAACAATGATATATACAGGGAAAATGGTTAACGACTTCTTCATACGCCTCTTCCTGCATTTGTTAAGGACCTTGGAATGGAAACGATTGGTTGACAGCTGTTGAGAAATTGAACAACTAACTATGAAATTAATTTGGGCATTTGAAATTCTGAAACAAATTCCCATCAGTGACTTAGCTTGTCTTTATTCTGTGGTTCATTGATGAAGCAGACATTATTCTCCTAGGGTCAAATTCATCACGAGAGGAAATTTCAGGAGTTTATTGGAATGAACAATGATATATACAGGGAAAATGGTTAACGACTTCTTCATACGTCTCTTCCTGCATTTGTTAAGGACCTTGGAATGGAAACGATTGGTTGACAGCTGTTGAGAAATTGAACAACTAACTATGAAATTAATTTGGGCATTTGAAATTCTGAAACAAATTCCCATCAGTGACTTAGCTTGTCTTTATTCTGTGGTTCATTGATGAAGCAGACATTATTCTCCTAGGGTCAAATTCATCACGAGAGGAAATTTCAGGAGTTTATTGGAATGAACAATGATATATACAGGGAAAATGGTTAACGACTTGTTCATACGTCTCTTCCTGCGTTTGTTAAGGACCTTGGAATAGAAACGATTGGTTGACCGCTGTTGAGAAATTGAACAACTAACTATGAAATTAATTTGGGCATTTGAGAGTCTGAAACAAATTCCCATCAGTGACTTAGCTTGTCTTTATTCTGTGGTTCATTGATGAAGCAGACATTATTCTCCTAGGGTCAAATTTATCACGAGAGGAAATTTCAGGAGTTTATTGGAATGAACAATGATATATACAGGGAAAATGGCTAACGACTTCTTCATACGTCTCTTCCTGCGTTTGTTAAGGACCTTGGAATGGAAACGATTGGTTGACAGCTGTTGAGAAATTGAACAACTAACTATGAAATTAATTTGGGCATTTGAAATTCTGAAACAAATTCCCATCAGTGACTTAGCTTGTCTTTATTCTGTGGTTCATTGATGAAGCAGACATTATTCTCCTAGGGTCAAGTTCATCACGAGAGGAAATTTCAGCACTTTATTAGAACGAACAATGATATATACAGAGAACATGGTTAACGACTTCTTCATACGTCTCTTCCTGCGTTTGTTAAGGACCTTGGAATGGAAACGATTGGTTGACAGCTGTTGAGAAATTGAACAACTAACTATGAAATTAATTTGGGCATTTGAAAGTCTGAAACAAATTTCCATCAGTGACTCAGCTAGTCTTTATTCTGTGGTTCATTGATGAAGTAGACATTATTCTCCTAGGGTCAAATTTATCACGAGATGAAATTTCACGACTTTATTGGAATGAAGAATGATATATACAGAGAACATGGTTAACGACTTCTTCATACGTCTCTTCCTGCGTTTGTTAAGGACCTTGGAATGGAAACGATTGGTTGACAGCTGTTGAGAAACTGAACAACTAACTATGAAATTAATTTGGGCATTTGAAAGTCTGAAACAAATTCCCATCAGTGACTTAGCTTGTCTTTATTCTGTGGTTCATTGATGAAGCAGACATTATTCTCCTAGGGTCAAATTTATCACGAGAGGAAATTTCAGGAGTTTATTGGAATGAACAATGATTTATACAGGGAAAATGGTTAACGACTTCTTCATACGTCTCTTCCTGCATTTGTTAAGCACCTTGAAATGGAAACGATTGGTTGACAGCTGTTGAGAAACTGAACAACTAACTATGAAATTAATTTGGGCATTTGAAATTCTGAAACAAATTCCCATCAGTGACTTAGCTTGTCTTTATTCTGTGGTTCATTGATGAAGCAGACATTATTCTCCTAGGGTCAGATTTATCACGAGAGGAAATTTCAGGAGTTTATTGGAATGAATAATGATATATACAGGGAAAATGGTTAACGACTTCTTCATACGTCTCTTCCTGCATTTGTTAAGCACCTTGAAATGGAAACGATTGGTTGACAGCTGTTTAGAAATTGAACAACTAACTATGAAATTAATTTGGGCATTTGAAAGTCTGAAACAAATTCCCATCAGTGACTTAGCTTGTCTTTATTCTGTGGTTCATTGATGAAGCAGACATTATTCTCCTAGGGTCAAATTTTTCTCGAGAGGAAATTTCAGGAGTTTATTGAAATGAACAATGATTTATACAGGGAAAATGGTTAACGACTTCTTCATACGTCTCTTCCTGCATTTGTTAAGCACCTTGAAATGGAAACGATTGGTTGACAGCTGTTGAGAAACTGAACAACTAACTATGAAATTAATTTGGGCATTTGAAATTCTGAAACAAATTCCCATCAGTGACTCAGCTTGTCTTTATTCTGTGGTTCATTGATGAAGCAGACATTATTCTCCTAGGGTCAAATTTATCACGAGACGAAATTTCAGGACTTTATTGGAATGAACAACGATATATACAGAGAACATGGTTAACGACTTCTTCATACGTCTCTTCCTGCGTTTGTTAAGGACTTTGGAATGGAAACGATTGGTTGACAGCTGTTGAGAAATTGAACAACTAACTATGAAATGAATTTGGGCATTCGAAAGTCTGAAACAAATTCCCATCAGTGACTTAGCTTGTCTATATTATGTGATTCATTGATGAAGCAGACATTTTTCTCATAGGGTCAAATTTATCACGAGAGGAAATTTCAGGAGTTTATTGGAATGAACAATGATTTATACAGGGAAAATGGTTAACGACTTCTTCATACGTCTCTTCCTGCATTTGTTAAGCACCTTGAAATGGAAACGATTGGTTGACAGCTGTTGAGAAACTGAACAACTAACTATGAAATTAATTTGGGCATTTGAAATTCTGAAACAAATTCCCATCAGTGACTCAGCTTGTCTTTATTCTGTGGTTCATTGATGAAGCAGACATTATTCTCCTAGGGTCAAATTTATCACGAGACGAAATTTCAGGACTTTATTGGAATGAACAACGATATATACAGAGAACATGGTTAACGACTTCTTCATACGTCTCTTCCTGCGTTTGTTAAGGACTTTGGAATGGAAACGATTGGTTGACAGCTGTTGAGAAATTGAACAACTAACTATGAAATGAATTTGGGCATTCGAAAGTCTGAAACAAATTCCCATCAGTGACTTAGCTTGTCTATATTATGTGATTCATTGATGAAGCAGACATTTTTCTCATAGGGTCAAATTTATCACGAGAGGAAATTTCAGGAGTTTATTGGAATGAACAATGATTTATACAGGGAAAATGGTTAACGACTTCTTCATACGTCTCTTCCTGCATTTGTTAAGCACCTTGAAATGGAAACGATTGGTTGACAGCTGTTGAGAAACTGAACAACTAACTATGAAATTAATTTGGGCATT